CAGAAATCCTATTAAAAATAAAACTAATAAAGTTTTACTCACTGATGAGTTTCTAATGAGTAGCTGCCAGTGGTGGGCAGCACTAATCTAAAATGTTCCACTAGCCCTAAAACACTCACTCAAATATTTAGGTCCCCTAATTCTAAAGCACTAACACACTGAAAAATTTAGATGAAGCTAATTCGAAAATAACCCAGTTAACCCATGGGACATTCTTCAACAGACATGAGTCACATGTTGCCATGTTGCTCTGTAAAGACTTATTGACATTTCTCAGCTGTATTTGGGTTCATATATTGTGAATATTTTGTCACCTGGTGAATAAGTGACACACATATGAACAAAATGTGCATTATCTTTCACCGTCAGTTTTTGACATTGACATTGATCAATAACATTTATAGAGCTCGGTTAGTGCTTCTAAATTTAGCAAGTGCTAATTCACTAATGAATTTTAAAATTGGCAAAAGCCCTAAAGCACTAATTAGGAAATTAGTTCCCCTGTTAGTGCTTTAGGGGAACTGTGCCCACTGGTAGCTGSCAYCTTGAATTCTGAACTCTCCCACTTTCTGACAGGGAATTCCCATGGATGATCACCATGCAACATGGGAGATGTAGTTTATGGTGGATGCTGACTTTAAAGCAGCTTATTTTGATAAATTAATACTGTGCTGTCCTACTAAAATGCTCAGTTACTTAAAGCCAACAGCTGAGGGGCAGGAMAGTGATTATTATTTTTCATATTTTAAATGTTAACTGTTAAATGGAGTCACGCAACACTGAAAAGGAAGAAGCGTGTACAGAAAATGGATGGATGGATGGATGTTAAATGGAGTTTGTTGGGTACTTATAGGAGTGCAGGAAAGCTGAATTTACTCTCTCCTGGTAGTCATCTTTATATTCTGTTTGGGTCAGATTTTTCAAGCCATTCAGTTATTTTAGACTTTTCCCTGAGCTATTAAGTCAAATTATTTTTGTCGGAACTGACAAAAAATATCTGGACTTACCAAAAAATTTCATTGTCTTCTTTTGTAAGGCTGGATGGACAAGTCTTCCCTTGTTGACGTATTTTAAGTAATTTGTAAAAACAAATGTTTCTGCACCACAAGATAGATGTAATCCCCTCTATCAAACAAGAATATACAGGTCTGTTTACTTTAAAGCTAACGATCTTTAGCTCATAATGAATGAGTTTTAACAGAAGAGATGGGGGAAAGCAMTAAAGTGAATGCTATTGTTTKTTTGTTTTTTTCTGAATTAGATCTTTGTCTGGCCGTATTGTTGGTGGCGTCTGGTGGTTCTTCACTTTAATCATCATCTCCTCCTACACTGCCAACCTGGCCGCTTTCCTGACTGTCGAGAGAATGGTTTCGCCCATTGAAAGCGCCGAAGATCTGGCTAAACAGACCGAGATCGCCTACGGAACTCTGGACTCTGGCTCCACCAAAGAGTTTTTCAGGGTAAGAGATACTCTAGTGTCAGACCTGCATGTGTCCTCTCACACGGTGACAGCTGGAAACCAGCACCAGCGACCAAGTGACATAAAAAAGGAAAAGTGGGTAAAGAAAATGAATGGATGGATGTGGGACAGCTCTTTGTTCAGTTTTTGTCCAGGGTTCCTGCAGATCCTTAAAAAGTCTTATTTTTGGATTGATGAATTCAATGCCTTCTAAGACTTTGCATTTACATTTCTTACACAAATTTGATGTYACAGGCACTTTAAGGTTTCATCTACAGCAAATTGGGTTTAAGACCCCACTGTGGACCCTAAAACTCCAAATTTTGGGTCGTTAGAGGATGTCCAGAAATTAAATTAAGTTTAAAACTGACTGCAATATGGTTTAAACAATTGGTCTATTAGCAATATTTGAACACTTAAACCAAAAATACTTTGATTAATGAGTTTCTGCCAATTTTTTTGTCATCTGTATTTACTGTAGTTATTCATGTATAATACTAGAAATTTAAACCTAAAAAAAATCATCCATAAAGTGTGTGTGTGTGTGTGTGTGKGGGGGGGGGGGGTAGTATTATACACGGGTTATTGGTGTTTAGATTTTTTATGCTTTTTAAGCTCAAAAATGGTGATCATATTATACTCGAGATCGTATTATACATGAATAAATATGGTATTATAAAATTGGTCCTTAATTTAATTTCACTTGGCATTAAAAAGCCTTAAATTTAATTTGCCTTAAACTGTATGAACCCTGTTTGTCATCACGTTTAATTGTTGTTTTGTTGTTCTGTCTCTTCCCCAATGCAGCGCTCAAAAATCGCCCTCTTTGACAAAATGTGGACGTACATGAGGAGCGCAGAGCCGTCCGTGTTTGTAAAAACCACAGCCGAAGGGGTTCAGAGAGTCCGTAAATCCAAGGGGAAGTATGCCTACCTGCTGGAGTCCACCATGAATGAATACATTGAGCAGAGGAAACCTTGCGACACCATGAAGGTGGGAGGCAACCTGGATTCCAAAGGCTACGGGATCGCCACGCCGAAAGGATCCCCATTAAGGTGGGTGGAATAGTATAACAATGTGTCCAATGTTGTTATAGTATCCCACCTACCCTGATGTAGCTTTGCTTATGTGTCTCTGGTTTGTATAAGGAGACGAGGTAATATCCCACTTTCCATTCAGTTTTAAAAAACATTGCAATTTATTGTAAGTCGATAAATTGCAAAACAAAAAAATAAGTTTTTTAAATCAAAAGTGTGTTTTTTATATTTCTAATTGACAAATTTGGTATAAAATATTTGTAAAAATATTATTAGTGGGTTTTGGCTCTGAGGATGAATTTCACCTTTATTTGGACTCTAATCCTGTTTCAATATTTAGAAATTTCAGAATGTTTAAGAAACATTTTCTATTATATCCACTCTTTAATATATTTGGATTGATCTAAATTTTGTCCTGCACTGTTTTAGTTGTTGTCTTCTTACATGGCTCCATATGCTTTAACATTTTACTTGTTCTGCTCTCTTCGTCTTGACTTTGAATGATTGCTTAATCTGTTTACAGTTAGAATGATTTTAGAAATGTAGACATGCTTGTTTACTTGCTGTGCTTTACTAAACCCTTTGCAGTACACAAGTTTTATTTAATTATGAAATAAGCATTCCTTTGTGGGGAAAACAATTGGAATTAAAAAAAACATATTAATGTGTAATTGTGGCACTGCTGGGGTTTCTATATGTATTGGATATGCAATGTTTACGATCACTTGGTAGATTTTAGGACTGTTTTAGATATTTTTTATCAGAATAACAAAACAAATCTATATTTTGCCAAATGTGATRCTTTTATTGTGTTTTAGTGGGGAGCAAATTGGATGATGTTAAAAACTGTTGCATGCTTTTTGCCATATTTTTGTGAGCTCTAACCATTTTTCCCCATTACTGCTGTCTCTCTTTTTAGTGGAGTCACTTGCCAGACACTGTTATATGTATGTTATGGATGTGAGTACAGTGCTGTAGCCACTAGTCCCCCCTAGTCTTAGCACTCTGTCCTCTTTTTTGTGTTATGGCTAAGCTCTGCCACCTTTGACAAGCATTACTGTTACACTCATATTTAATCGTAGAAACAGAAGCTAGCTATTTGTGAYTGAACTCCCTAACAGCTATGAAAGGGAGAGAACTATATAAAATACATCTACCGTATTTATTCAAGTATAATACGTAAAATTTAATCCATAAAATCATCCATAAAGTTGGGGGGTAGTATCATACTCGGATGAATATTTTTACTTATGTAATTTAACTGAAATATTGGCTTCATTCACAAAATGCCTGAGTCCGGAAATGAGACCACGTCGTAAAAAGCAGTTGAAATGAGCTCTGACACTCCTCCGTGCTTCAGAGTGAGATAATAACAGAGCCAGGCAGGCGACGATGTGAAAAAAATGGGTGAAAAAAGCAGCCCTGCACCTTAGTAATGATAACAAACTAATGACATTAGCGTGTAAATGAGCCATTCCTCGAACAACAACAAACACATGTTCGTCTGTAATGGCTGCCGTCTACCAGTGTTTTGAAAAAGTTTGTATCCCTGAAAAAACGTTTCCCCACCAGAGGGGTGTTCGTGAGTAGGAAGTAATCTGCTTTTCCCCCACAAGATGGCCCAAATCTCATGTAAAGTCTCTGACTTTTGTGTTGGCGCCTCCTGGTGGGCTATGTGTAAAATGCCAGAATTCATATGATGCTGCTACAGCTGATATATATATTTGTTGTCAAAATACCTTTTAGTACATATGTTGTTAAAATAAATTGAACAGTCCAATGATCATTTTACTGATATGTATAAAGACTGCAAAGGCTGAAAAATCTTGAAGTCTGTATGAAATTGGAGGTAGTTTGAGGATTAAATTGTTAATGCTTTTTAAGCTCAAAATGGGGGAGGGGTCGTATTATACATGAGATCGTATTATACACGAATAAATACGGTATTTTTTTTACCATATAGTTATTACTTTCTTTAAATACCTGAAAGGGAGTAATAGGCTATTTGTAAGTGGCTCACCCTGTCTTACAAGTATGTTTTATCGTTTCAAGAAATCAGGTTAACCTCGCAGTACTAAAACTGAATGAGCAAGGGCTGTTGGACAAATTGAAAAACAAATGGTGGTACGACAAAGGAGAGTGCGGCAGCGGGGGAGGTGATTCCAAGGTCAGCCCCAGTGAGCAAACTGATGGGTAACTCAATGCAACTCCCGAAAAGTAAGCAGCAAACCAGCACAGGATCCCAATCCACACTGACAGCGGACTGTGTCACCTGCTGAATCAGGTGTACAACCAGCAAAGCATCTCCGCATTAATCATAGCACTCACACATCACGCAGCTGACAATCAGAATGTCAGGAAAACTAAAYGTCCTGGACGTGCACACGCGGGTTCTCGAAGCTCGCGGACTCCTCCCATTGGATTGTCTGCACAATGCCGGTGCAGTACGGCTGCTGCTCTTGCTGCTTACTTCAGGCGATACGTTAATGCACATTTGGCTCTGCAAAACCCGCTTTTGCTTAGGCCAAATGGCGCATCAACGCCTATTGCCGCAATGACAGAAAGAAGAGAAAGAAATGTGAGAAAAGAGAATCAAAGAGAGAGTTGAGAGAGAGAGAAAAAAAAGTTTAATCAGTGTAAATGTAATAATAACATAAAATAACATTTTTAATGTTATTTATGTTATTTTCCACGTGAAGAACGCCAGTAAACCTTGCAGTATTGAAACTCAGTGAGCAAGGAGTCTTAGACAAGCTGAAAAACAAATGGTGGTACGATAAGGGTGAATGTGGAGCCAAGGACTCTGGAAGTAAGGTTAGTCGCTGCAGGTTCTATGTGATTCAAGCACATTCATAATTAGTGGGAATGACCCCATTAAACGTAATGATAAATCATTTCAAGCAAATGCACAAAGCATGAGATGCCTTGATAAATGTTATTTACTAATGCCTGCAGACCTACTAATGAATAATACTATTTATATATTTATACATTATATTTTATAGTAATGCATGCATTGTCATTCTCTAAATGTGCACCTTTTTTATCAAAATGACTTGGAAAATCTTTTTTCCAGCTTTCAAAAAAAAAATGAAATGACGAAGCTTTTTTCTTACAAAAAAGCTACAACATACTATATAAATAATCCAATTTTAAAGATTTGGATGCAGCTGAACAAAATCCAGCACTAAATATGAAAATCTGACAGTGATTGGCTGAACTTTGGACCATCTATAAAGGGTGTCCAATGGTGTTAAATGTCTGCTGTACCTGTACTTCTGTCTTTCACTGTCTAGTAATCTGTGAGTCTTGTGTCTTTTATTTCTGTTTGCTACCTGTTTATTTTTTATAACTTGAAATACACTAAAAAAAATCTTAGAAATCCACCATTCTCAAAATCACACTAAACCGCTCCTTCACCTTCCGCTTGCAATATCAGAATTAAATGACATGAACTATTAACGAAATGATCCTTTTTTCTGATTCTCTTTCTTCCGTCAGCACTTGTTTCTTTTTCTTGATAGATTTTGGCTTTTGTCTTGTTGCAAGTAAAATAAGAAAAGGAAGAGAAAAAATGTTGCTATTGTGTTGTCTATGGCTGTCATGTTTGTCACTTTCCCACTCACAGATAAGTTGTGCACCACTTTTTTTTAAAAAAAGGTATAGCCCTATGTATCCATTTGGCATCAACCTTAAATGAATACATGGGTGTTTATTAAGCTTACCAAAGCTTGCTGTACTGTATGTGTCAAAGCCTGGTTGGTTTATTAATAACCTGTCCTCCCTCTTTGTCTTTGTCTCTAAGTAAAGGTCTTTGAGCACGCTTGTAACAGCTTAGCCCTCTGTAATGGGCAACCCATGTAAATGGTCCTTGTACAATACAAATTACTTATAGATCCTTAACACCCTGATGTATACGCTGCTGCTACATTTCATTTTGATTAACTAATCTTACCCAATATGTTGCTTTCAATTTGAAAAAAAAATCACAATGTTATATTTGTCTTGTTATTTTGTTTATTTTATTTTAGATGTCAAAAATCTAAAACTTTTACAAATAGTGGTGCATTTTGTGTATAATTTCAGACTTTGTCGTGATCGTGCTTTTTCGTTTCATTCATGTCCACGTGTTTATTTTTCTTTGTTTATATATCTCAGTCTCTTTTTTTTTTTTGTTTGTTAACGACGTCTCACCGTTTCTCCGCAACTCATCCCCGTCTCGTGTCCACTTTGCAGGAGAAGACGAGCGCCCTAAGCCTGAGCAACGTGGCTGGGGTCTTCTACATTCTGGTTGGAGGACTCGGTTTGGCCATGCTGGTGGCCTTGATCGAGTTCTGTTACAAGTCCCGAGCCGAGGCGAAACGAATGAAGGTGGCACAGAATGCACAGAATATTAACCCAACTTCCTCGCAGAATTCACAGAATTTTGCAACTTATAAGGAAGGTTACAACGTATATGGGATCGAAAGTGTAAAAATTTAGGGGGTAGGGAACGAGGTTTTCATAAATTCCCCCCAAATGCACGCTTTTTTGGCTCCATCCGTTCCATCCCTCAGTGTTAGTGAGTGAAGAGGTTGGCCAAAGGATCGTATGTACTGGTGATTTATGATTTTAATGAGAGAAAGCGATACTCCCCCCTTTTTTTAAAAGCATAAAATTGTGTTTGTTCATTTTCCCTGTGGTCTTTTAAACCATTTTCATGTATGACTGTTGATGGCCATGCTTGTTAACTCCTCTGTCCTAGTAACATATCTCAACAATAATGCTTGCAATGACCATGCGAAAAAAACTTTACATGATCATTTGCATCTTGCATTCTGTTATTGATGGTCATAATGATCAGTTCTCATCTACATTTTCACGTTTTATACATTTGAAGTCTTTTAAGCATTTTTGAATTGACGACAACATCAATCTAACATGTTTTTTTGTTGTTGTTTTTTTTCTTGTTTGTGTATGGATCCATGTGTGTGCGTTTGAATGTGGCCATGATTGTTTGCTCGTACACATGATTTGTGCGTTTCTATAGGTGACTTTTGGGGATGCCATGAGGAATAAAGCAAGACTTTCTGTCACAGGGAGTACTGGGGAGAATGGTCGGGTGATGACGCCAGAGTTTCCTAAAGCTGTCCACGCTGTCCCCTACGCAAGACCTGACATGGGACTAAACGTCAGCCTGACCGACCTGTCCTGATCAATGAAAAACTCCTGAGTGCCTTACAACGGTTTCAATAGAGCGATTCTCTTTTCCTCCCTTCTTCTGTTCCGGCACTTTTTTTATTTTGTTTTCCGGTGAAAAAGAAAAAAAAAATCAGAGATGGAGGCTTCATTTTCTTTGTAAAGACTTGTATTGTTCCTCAGTGTCTCCATTTATCACCGCATACGAACACCTCTCTATATAGGAGACGTTCAATCTTGGAAAATGAAAAAGTGGCTCTTGCTTTTTTTTTTCCTTTTTCTAAAAAAAATGGTGACGCCATGCTTTCCTATCTGCTCGGACTGGACTGAGACAGAAGCAAGGGCTTGACTGACAGCTGCGGTATCTTCTGGGAGTCAGAGGTTCAGTCATCTACGCTGTGTTTTCCACGAGTGCTCGAACGTGCGTGCGTGTGTGTGTGTGTGTGTGTGTGAGGCTGTAAGTGTGTAACAGGGCGATGTCAACAACACACCATTTCCGTAGCCACCGCCGCCAAACAGGATTTTCAAGCACACTTGATTTCATCTAAGATGTGAAAAGCTCAAATTTCTTTTTTTTTAAGAAAATTTACAGAAAAAAATACAAAAAATATTTTTATGTATTTTCACAAAATAGCTTTTAAATAAACTTGCTTACATACTGGTTGGATATAAACATCTTAATG